TGATTGATTGATTGATTGATTGATTGATTGATTGATTGATTGATTGATTGATTGATTGATTGATTGATTGATTGATTGATTGATTGATTGATTGGTAATCTATTTCAACATGTGAACAATATGCAAGTACATTTAGAAAAGAAAATAAGCGAGAAAAAAAATACTATACAAATTACATACAAAAAAACATTCTGATTAATTTACATGTTGAAAATTGCATTTTTAATTTTGCTGCCTCTAAGTTGTGGAATTTGCTACCATTAAACTTAAGATCTGCAGCCGCTGTTTATACCTTTAAAAAGAAGCTTAAGACGAACCTGTGCACACTTGCTTTTAATTTATGTTTATTTAAAAGGGACAATGCAAATTAATTAACATGAGCACTTAAAATCATCATGTAAACGTGGCAGATTTAGCCACATTGATTCAATTTCATCAGTAGTCACTGGCAGGTTGATGGCATAACAAATGAATCAACAAATCCAAACATTCAGAAGCATGTGAACATAAGTGAAATACAGAAACACACATGAAATAAAGAATAATAATGAACCATATTTAAACACATTAAAATCAATTACCTTCAGTGACATTATTTCACATCATGACAGCATGTTCGATTATCCAGTAACCACTGTTTTACAGATTTAGAGAAAGAAGTAAAGAATGTTATATTCCTTGTTTGTATTGTATTGTACTGTGGGCAAGTATAGCTGACTGCCAAATGCACTTTTCCTGAGGGGTATTTTACAGTCTCCTCTAAAAAATGCTGTGGTAGATACAGATGAACTTTGATTTTATTTAATGGCCTCATTAGAGGAGTGGGGGTCAGTCACTTTTATCTATTTATCCATTTTAATTGTATTGTTATTGTGCTTTATATTGCAGAGCACTTTGTAACTTTTGTTTTTCAAAAGCGCTTTATAAACATATGTTACTTATTTCTTTACTTGAAATAGTAATTAATTAAGATTTTGTTTACCACAAAGATAAAGGCACCTGACACTGAGTTTAAAAAACAACAACATTTTTTCCAGTTTTATTATGGAAAGCATGTCTGAACATTTAAACAGGAAACTGTCTATTAAGGGTTTACAAAGTTGGAACAGCCCTTTTTAAAGTATCAAATGGTTTATTACTTGGTTTGCCAGTATTTTTGCCTGGGCTCAGAACATAGACAGAAATAGAAATGCTTATTTTAAGTAAGATAAATAATAATAATAATGGCTCTGGTATGAATAAGGAGCACCAAAACATCGAGTTCAGGGTTAAAACATCAACATTTTGTGTCTTCTTCAGCAGTCAGTGCAAACCAGCCACATGAGCCTTTTATCAAAAAATCCATTTCCTTTAACTGGATTTGTGTTGGTTGAGCCTATCAGCTCCTTTGTGTGATGTGTGATGCCCAATATAACTTTGGGTTCACTAATATGAGTGAAACCGCTGTCTGGTGTTTTGCTGGTGGTGTGGCGATGCCTGGGAGGCCTGTGGGGTGCCTTTTCTGACCTGTACAGGTAACAGTGGTTATAATAGACAGGTGTAGGGCAGCACGAGGCATGTCTCAGCCAATCACAGCCGAGGTCCAGTGAGACTGCAGTGGTTTAAAACTGATAACAGCCGTGAGCTGAGCTCTATGGCTCAATGTGTCTGCAGAAATACCTTGAGACTGTAGGAGCCTCTGTCACACTATTTCTGCACCTTTTTTTTTACACTTTTAGTCTTTGCAAATCTTTTTTTTCTTCAAAGACAGTTTTAAGATGATTTCCTCTTCGCCGTTTCTTCTGCTGCTTCTCTCCGGATGGGGTTTGCTCAGTTTTGTCTCGGGTTCCCCCGCTGTGGAGGAAGCTTACGAGGCTGTGGTGAGCATCGTGTCTCCAGGACAGCAGTATCTGACCGGGGAATCCCTTCACTCCCTCTTTAATACACTGGAGCACCGTGTGCACTGCGGCGAAGTGCCGTGTGAAAAGGTGAGTTTTATTAGGCTAAAGCTGCAACCGAGCTGGAGAGCCCTGAGTCGGGTGCGGTGGAAAAAGGTCGAGGTCCAAAAGCTATTACGCAAGTGATAGATCGGGATAGGTCTGCTTTAAATTGTAATCAATTTGCTAATAATAAAAATAATGTTACATTTTTAAATTTTAACATTACTTCTTTTAGATTTAGATTTAAGTACTTATCTGCTGAACAATCATCTTAAGTTTACTTTCATGTTCCAAACTGCTTATTTACTCCTGTAAAAGTGTGCAAAAGTTAACTAAAAGTAAAGTAAGGGTGCTTTCAAATAATGCTGTAAGTACTTTTTAATCAAAGTGCAGCAAAGCGCAATAAACAGAAAATCCTTAAATCCCTTCAGCTTTAAAATGGCACCATTTTTCCACCTTGGCCGGCCAGTTGTTCCGAGCATTTGGTAGTTTCATGATGGGATTTAGGCGTCTATTTGTATTTTTATATTTAATCCCAGGCTTGTTTAATAAAGTGGACTTATCAATGGGAATCTTTGAGCTGCTTTTGAAAGGAAAAATGTCTTAAGTGTAACTTTATTGCATAATATTTGCCGTGGATGCACAGAAAAAAAAGACGAAGCAAAAAAGAAAGAAATATTATTTAATTGAACCTAAAAGTTCAGACCTTTTTCTTCTCTTTCCTCTTCTTCGTCTCATAAAGATTTTTTTTTTCTCTTTTGCAGTAAGTTATTAAATAAAGAGTCTCTGGTGGAAGTCTGGCTACTCTAATGGAAAAGTTTAATGACAACGTAATTGAAATGAGCTTTAATCAGGGTTATATCAAGAAAAAAGTGTTGGACAACATTTTGCCTTGTATCAATAGGCTTCTTCCTTCAGTCAACAGGAGCCTAAACACCGATCAGGGCCTTTAGCGGCAGGTGTTTCTCCTGCCTGAGAATGAGCCTTTTTAAGGGTGCTGTGTTCACATCCCTATCTGACCATCTGATAAAGATAAAACCTCAGTTTTTTTTCAGTAAAGGAATCTTCAGCTCATAAAAGCTGGTTTAAAAATAAGTTATTACAGTGCTGGTGATTTTTATCCAGCTTTGGCTAAAAGCTCTCTTAAGGGGCACCAAAAATTAAGCAAGAAAAAAAAAACAGGCTGGCTGAAACAATTACTCTTCGGTTTCAGGTTCAGTGTGTTAGCACTAATCCATGCTTATTTTATAAGTGTTGCTGTTACTCAAAGCATTTGCAGGCAACTTAGACAAAACCCCTTTATCAGTGAGTAAGAGAGAAGTCCTTGGACTTCTTAGGTGTCAGCTGAAAACAGCAGGAATGTGCAATGCATGCCTGATAAATGTTTGCTATCAGACAGCTGTGGCAGCCACCAGTGAATGATGCATGAAATAAAAGAGATGAGAAACTGTTAAACTGTCAATTTCATTGTAAGAACTTAGCAGTAGTGACATCGGCTTGCACTGTGGATTATAACAGGAAAAATGTGAAAGAGGTTCAATATTGACCCACAATAAAAAAAAGTTTCTATTATTCCGCTGTCTAGGAGTTTATATGCAGTGCTGTGAAAACTTATTTGTCCGCTTGTGATTTCTTAGCTTTTTGAATATTTGTCAAATTTAGATGTTTTGCATAATCTAACCAATTTTATCATTAAGCAAAGAAAACCCAAATTGATGCAAAATCCATTTTTTAAATGATGATTTTTTTTTAAAGCTATCCAAACCGACCTGGTCTTGTGTGAAAACCTCAGCCTAACTGGTTGTGCCGCACCCTTGGCAGCAAGAACTGCAGTCAAGTGTTGTATTAACTGGAATTGAGTCTTTCACATTTCTGTGGAGGAATTTTGGTCCACTCTTATTTGCAGAATTCCTTTAATTCAGCAACACTGGAGGGTTTTCAGGCATGAGCGGCCTGTTTAGGGTTATGCCGAAGCATCTCAATAAGATTTTCAGACTTTGACTAGCCCAATCCAAAACCTCCACTTTGTCTTTTTTTTAACCATTCAGAGGTGGACATGCTGGTTTGACTCTAATCATTGTCCTGCTGCATAACCCAAGTGCTCTTGAGCTTCAGCCCTCTCTAGTAGAGAGCAGAATTCATGAATCCACCATGTTTGACCCCACCCGGAGAGAAGCATTTTAGGAAATGCCGTGTTAGTTTTACACCACATGTAGCGGGGACTCAAACCTTTCAAAAAGTTCACATTTTTTCTTATCAGTCCATAGAATATTTTCTCAAAAGTCTTGGGGATCATCAAGATGTTGTTGCTGTTTTTAATTTGGCAAATGTGAGACGAGTCTTTGTGTTCTTTGCTCGGCACTGCACTGTTAGAAAAAACATCTTAAAAAAACAGTAATACTCCGGCAGCTGGGGCGCCAAAATAATACCGTAAAATAACAGAAAATAACTTGCTCATAAAAATATGGTTATTTCCAGTAATGAAAATACAATTTGTTGCCCTAATTTTACATGGGATTTTGCCTTTTTCAAGTGCTTTTAAACATTAAATTAGGAACAATTTAATGTGATTAAACAATGAAATTACCTATAAACAAGGTCAATGAATGCGGCAATATGGATAATAATACTTAAATGTACAGAAATATACAGTTAACAGTTGGTTTAAATAATAATGGATGACATTTATATCGTGCTTTTTGAGACCCTCAAAGCGCTTTACAATTCCCCTCTGGCCATCACCAGTAGGTGAAGTGTCTTGCCCAAGGACACAACTACCGAGAGTGTTCGAGCCGGGGCTCGAACCGGCAACCTTCTGATTACAAGGCGAACTGCCAACTCTTGAGCCACGATCGCCCTAAGTAAGGACTGCGTAAGGAGAAACACTTTTCATGATACTGTAGGTTCTCTTAGGAGTTATTATTATAATCACAGCAATGTATTGATTCTGTAAGAGTTTAAAGGGCCAGTTCACTCAAAATAAAATTTAGTCAACAACAACACATAGTTGGATTTTTGCTTTGTACCAATCTGCTGTAAAATATAGTCGTATGATTCTTTACCATCTAATCAGTCATTCGTGACCCAACTTTTAGGTCAAGATTGGTGGATATCAGTATTTTATGATATGCAGCGATCTTGTTGCTTACATCATCTCTAATAAAAGACAATAAAACTGCTGATATTCATGAGATATGGATTAGATTAGATTATAGGTTTCTGATAATTCTGGATAATCCTGTATAAATGCACCAATAAAGCAATCAATTCATGACCTCTTTGCAGTAGCATCGTTTATGTTCACATACACTTTATTAGATACACCATGCCAGTACCAGACTGGACCCCTTTTTGACTCCGGAGCTGTTTTAGTTCATCATGGCACAGATTTAACAAGGTGCTGGAAACGTTCCTCCGGGAGATTGGTTCATATTGACAGCATCACACAGTTGCTGCAGATTTGTCGTCTGCATATCCAACAAATCTGCTGGACTGAGTTCTGGTGACTGTGGTGGTCGTTTGAGTACAGCGGACTCACTGTCATGTAAAAGAAACCACTTTGAGATTATTTGAGCTTTGTCGATGGTGTGTCATCATGTGTGGTTAGAAGATGGATACACTGTGGTTGTAAAGGGATGGAACAATACTCACGTAGGATGTGAGGTTTAAACAATGCTCAGATAGTAATAGGGGGCCTAAAAATCTCCCATAATATTAAATCACCAGCCACACTTTCAGCCATTGAGAGAAGTAGGATGGATCGATGCTTTCATGTTGTTCATTTCAAATTCAAGGGTAGTAAAACAAAGCACAGTTTTTCCAGTCTTCTATCAGGAAGTGTGGCTCCAAGTGTAGTCCTCTGCTGCTTTAGTCAACATGCTGTGCATTTAGAAACGCTCTTCTGCATACTTTGGTTGTAACAAGTAGTTATTTGAGTTACTGCTGCGTTCCTGTCAGTTCCAAGGAGTCTCTGACTTCTGGCATCAACACAGTGTTTTTACCCTGCTTACTGGATATTTTCTCTTTTTCAAACAGTTTCTGAAATACTCCAAAACAACCATGCAACATGTAAAGTCACTTAAATCACTTTTCTTCTCTTCTGGTGATCAGATTGTATTTCAGTAGGTCATCTTGACTTGACTTTCTACATGCCTAAATGCATTGAGTTCCTGTATTGGGCTGATTAGAACACTTGTACCTTCTATAGATAAATTTCATGAGATTGAAATGACTGTTTAATCTTTTTATCCCCTCTTTTTGCTCTCTGGACACAAAGTGTGATCTTGCAGATGCCGTTCATCAGCTCATAGGCAATCCCGACGTCCAATATGAGGAAGAAACGAGAAGAAACAGTGTAAATGTGGCTGTCACTGTATCTCAGTTCACGGCTCTCGCCTCCGGCTCCGTCCTTTACCTTTCTTCTCCTGGTCTGGTCTGCACAGCGATAAAAACAGGAACATGGGGAGAAGAGACTGAAAAATTCCTGCACAAATTCACACATAATGATCCCCATGAACACAAGAGTGAGGCAAACCATGACCATGAACACATAGACGTCCATGGATTAGAAGGTGTCATTCAAGAGCTTCGCAGCCACTACGACCCCACAGAAAGTGAGGTAAGCACAAGCCTATACTCAATCTTCAGTAAATAGTATTTATTGCTCTCTTTTGACCATATTCATTATAAACTGGATAGTGACAAGATAAGAAGAATGTAAAATATTAGCCTTCGAGTTTCCAAAAACTTTTTTTTCCAAAAATATTGTAGCTTTTAATTCACCAGCAAACTTCAACTAAAGGAGTCGCGAGTAAACCAGCTGGGAAATTAAAGAGACACATGCGAGGAGATCGCTTCCCCATAACAGTCAGTTGTACATTTCCTTTATGCAGTATAACATGAGAAAAAAGTGAGCATATAGATGTTCACAGATTAAATAACTAATAAATAACTAATAATAACAAATAAATAAACTCTTGCAGGGTGTGTTTTATTTGATTGCTGACAATGGAAGCTTACATACAGATTTATATCACAGCTGGTCAGACGGGCTGGGTTTTGCCCTGTATTTAGCCACATCACCATAACACCTGATCATGATTAAAAGTGCTCTTTGTATCCGTTTCATTTTACTGGCTTGATTATGTAATTTATTTATTAGAATAGAATAGTTCACAAAAGCTCGACATGATGTTGGACTGTAACGTTCAGTGAAAAGTTGCTTTTGTTTTTTCCGATTTACTTCCTTAAGACAAAAGTTTTGTCAGATTTCCAAACATTTAGCTGTGCTTCTTCTTGTATTTTAGAGTTTGTATGTACAGTGTTGACAGCATGTTCTAGCAGTTTCATTATTATTATTATTTGTTTTTTATTTTATTTTGTGTATCAAATTTTTGGGGTTTGTAATTTTATCTAGTGCAGATAGTTTTTCACAGACAGACAGTTTTTACACAACAATGTCCTCATATGACAGAGTTCCTCCGTGTAAAATTCTTACATATTAATATTTAACAGATTAAGTTGAGGAAAGTTAATACAACACTAAAAAATCAACAGTCCATAATAATGGTGCACCATTTCAGGAAAACAATAATGAATCAGGGAGAGTTGAGTGTTAAGTATATTTCCAGGATTTACACCAGCCAGCCGTATTATTTAAACCACAGACAGGTGAAATTCAAATCCGGCTGGCTGTTTATACAGTCATCACGGGCATCATCATCGTGCTAATTTACAGCCTTATATCCACATACATACACCCCATCTCATATTTGGTTAAATATCCCTTATCAGGTTGCATCTGCAGATATTTTTGTAGCAATCAAAAGGTTTCTGGCATAATTCAGGCTGGATGTTTGACCACTAATCTTTGCAGAACTGGCAGGCTTCATTTAAATTGGCTTGTCCATGTGGGCAGCTGCACATTCTGGTCAAACTTGAAGGTGTGGATTTTGGAGCAGGACCTTTTTCTTGATCAGCGCCATCCCAGTGATGCTTGGATGTATGTCTTAAAATCTTTCCATCCTGGGAAAATAAAACTTCAAAGAAAGGGTTAAAAGTCCAAAACTACCATAACATGATGAGTGTATGCATACATCTTACACAACTGTGCAATGAGCATAGGATCATCAGATCGGATAGCCTGGTCTGATGAACCACATATTGTATTGCTTCATATGAATGGCCCTATTAAAATCCCTTGAATGTGTAAGAGATGGTGATAGCAATAAAAAAAGTATGTTAGCTGAAGGACTGGGGAGTGCTTTGCTGGGAAACCTTAGATTCTGGAATTTATGTGGACTTTAATTTTCATATACAACCTATCTGTGGACATTGTTGCACACCACGTACTCCCTTTTATGGCAACATTATTTCCCCGATGGCCTCTTTAAGCATGATAATGCACCCTCCCAAATTACAACACCTTTATCTAAACAGTAAAGGCCACTGAGGGGTCATTTAACAAGGAATTTATGGAATACTTAAAAAACAAAGAGAATAAATCTAACAACAATAAAATTGTTAAATATTAGTTTAAAGAAAGGACATGCATTCACACTGTTCAATGTCCACTACAAGGGATTAAAGGGGATTAGATTATCTAATTTTACAAGCTTTTTGTGTTGTGTTTCACTTGTGTGGAGCACAGTCATTAAAACCCTTTGTCCAGTCTCAGTATTCACATGTTGATTCATAAGGACCAAAAAGTAAGGAAAGCTAGTGCGGTTTGAAAATGATCTGCAATGGCTTTAAGAATCTAAAGAAGACCTAGAAAAACAATAACTCCACTCCATGTAGAGTCCATGCTTTGACAATTCAGGCGTCCCACGTGCATTATGTACTAACTGACCATTGCTCAAAAGTGTTCAAAATGTCAACTGTGTTTAAATGTGTCGCCGTTCTAAAACACTCAGCCCCTTTTCTTTTCTTATTACTATGTTATAGAACTGTATAAGCGCTAGTGGCATCATGGCACAGGTCGACACATCATCAGGAGACCAGAAACAGGAAGTGGGTGCGGTTTTGGGATATGTGCTGAATCACGCCCTGCAAGGTCACTGCTTCACTGATCAGTCCCTGCCTGATGAGAGCTTCTTCGTGAACTACATCATGGAGCAGCTCGGCTCAGAAAATTTCACTATCCTGGGTAAATGTGCATAGACACAAAAAAACATATGAGCATTAATATATGTGCAATCACTCAAATACCCACAGCCTGTAAAACACTAACTCTGCAGGGCACTTTACAGGAACTGCTTTATTTATAAATCAACGATTGTTGTGGTCACTCCTTTGTAGTAACATAGGGAAAATGTAGTCCCATTAGCCTATTATGCCTTGCTAACAGATAATTATGTGAATCCTGAGGCCATTTTGTTCAGTTGCTTTGTGTGTGACTGTAGACCTAAAGGCTGTCATGAAGAGCCTGAATATCGGACCTAGCTCCGAGGAAGACCATGGACATGAGCACACAGCAGATGACCATGATGACAATGTCCAGAGATGGAGGAAGAGAAGCAGTGACAGTGTTGAGGGACGTGAAAGTAATAACACTTGGGAACAGGTACCAACCTAGAAACACAAGAAAATGCCAATTGGTTCACACATTTCATCATTTAAATACCAGCGAGGTGTAAGTTATATAATGGATGTCTGTGGTTTGTTTTTCCCAGCGTTGTTTCTCAGCTGAAGAACTGGTCCAGATCTACGGCCTGGCAGAGAATAGCTCTGCCTCCTCTGGTCTGGGTCGGCCTGGCGTGATTCAGCTCAGCCCTGCGCTTGTCCAGCAGATCCTGAGCGGAGCCTGTGCAGATATTACAGATCCAGAAAAACCTGATGGGCTCTCCAAGGCTGAGAGTAAGTGTCGTTGTGGACTCAAGTAACAAATAGTTCTACAAGTTGACAGTTTGGCATGTCTCAAAGGCTGGGAAATAAGATCTGTTTGTGCATTACTTATAGCTAACAACTGGTCTCTAATGGACATTCCAGGCACTTTTTTTCCTGTTTTCATTTGATGTCACTGCTAGTTGTTTCCTGCACACAAACAGACTTGATTCACAAATTCAAATTCTGGATTGTCCCTGAAGCACCTATTTCCAATTGCTGATTTTCAATTACAACATAAAGGCTGGTAGATGTCAAAGAAAATGCACATCCTGTAGGGATTTTCACTTTTTCAGAACGAATGTTAGGAGATATAAAGTGGAAATCTCGAGGGCTGAAAAATGCTTGCCTTTTGGAGCATTTCAAGTAGACATCTCTGTTTTCTAGCATTTTATTTAGTTATTTAGCAATCATTAGCAGTGCTTAGTGGGTATGAATGCATTCATACAATCTTTAGCTGAAAATTGCTAACTAAGCTTGCTACCATTAACTGTTAACTTAGCATTCCACCCTTTTAATTATGGTCACTTCTGTGCTCGAAAAAACTAAGATGGTACTGATGACATTAAAAGAGTTAAGGCTTCAAGATGCATCCACTTTTCAGTGAGCAGAATCCCAATTAATATACATGCTATCATTTGTCTCTTTCTCATGTAGGATACCTCTATGCAACCATCGCCAATTTCCTGATAACAGTGATATCCATGTTTGGCATTGTGGTGTTGCTGTGTGCCGCCTGTACCAGTGTTTTCCAGATGTGCATCCAGTTTTGCATCAGCCTGGCAGTCGGTTCACTGACTGGAGATGCCCTATTGCACCTGATGCCAACAGTGAGGGATTTTAAAGCTTTTAGATTGGAATCATAAGGCATTTATTAAGATTGTAATGGGTGATATGCTAGCACAGTGATACTATGTAAAAACTGATTAGTCTTTTCATATATTAACATTAATGATATACTCATTTTGTCTTTCTCCTGCAATCTTTATGTAGTTTCTGGGTTTGCACGTGCACTCAGACAACGGTGGCAGCAGCGAACATTCAAGTCACAGTCATGAGGAGGAAACTCCGGACTACGTATACAAGATGCTGGTACTGATTGCAGGGATCTACTGCTTTTACCTGATGGAAGTTTCCTTCTCTCTGATCACATATGGTGATAAGCATAACGACCATAAACATCACCATGGGGTAAGAAGAAAACAAGAAAACTCCTCATACAGAACACATTGTGTAATGTGTAATGTTAACCTTGTCATCCATTTACAACCAAAGTTGGTTATAAATATTGTGGCAGACACATGTACTGACATTTAAAAAGTTCAAAAAATACTTTTTTAAGTATTTGTCCTTCTTTGTCTCAAGTTCTTTCCTTCTGTCTCAGCCTGTAGGCTACATTTCTGAACAGTTTTGCCTTTCTCTCCTTTCAGGAAGAATCTGAGCCTCACCACTGTGACCATGGGAGAGTTTTAGAGATGTATCAACAGGAACAGAAACAAAAAGACACAAAGTCACAGTCCATATCCAAAGAAGACCTGGTAAGAGATATGTGGTCATGTGAAAGTTTTCATACGACTGTGCAGTCATAAGTCCACACTTTTTGACTAAGTGGGATATACTTAGTATTTGACTAAGAGTACCCTACTTAGCACACTTGTACCCCATAATACTATGACTCAGTAGCTTGTAAGACCACCTTTAGCAGCAATAACTTGAGGTTATCATTTTCTATATGACTTTATTAGTCTCTCACATCATTGTGGAGGAATCTTGAGTATAGCATGAGAAAAAAAATCAATTATCAATAAAAATCAAATTAAACAAAATCATCATTAGTTACACTTTGCATAATGCATTTGTTTTAGGTTAGCTGTGAGGACAATGAGAAACCGCTTCCAGAGCCAAAGGAGCGCACCAGAGGTGAGTAAAGTTACATGTAACACAAAAAGTTCATCATCATCAAACAGAGAGAACTGGTTACTATAACTTTGCCTCCTCCTGCATTCACAGAGCAGCGACTGCTGCCTTATATGATTACGATCGGTGACACGATCCACAACTTTGCAGACGGCTTAGCGCTAGGTGCAGCTTTCGCCCTGTCCTGGAAGTCTGGTCTGGCCACGTCACTGGCTGTACTCTGCCATGAGTTACCGCATGAGCTCGGTAATTATCTTGAAAAACACAAAAACAGTGCCTAACCTAATCTTTTTTTTCAGTATTCATGCATTAAATCACCTTATTTTCCTCCCCAGGTGACTTTGCCATTTTGCTCAACTGTGGCCTGTCTGTCCGCAAGGCCTTAGCTCTAAACATCGCCAGCACCCTGACCTCGTTCATCGGCATGTACATCGCTCTGTCTGTAGCCACTGACCTCGCTACCCAGCAGTGGATAGGTGCCATTACTGCAGGGCTCTTTCTATACGTGGGACTCGCTGATATGGTGAGTGTTACTTGTAACAAATCTGACTCTTTCACAGAAGTAGCACAATCTGATAACTGTTGTTTAATTATCATCTCCATCCTTTTTCATTGTAGCTGCCCACCATGATCCATATCAGCAACAAGAAACCCTGGCTGACATTTCTGCTGCAGAATGTCGGCCTTTTGGCAGGGTGGGGTATTTTATTGTTGTTGTCTCTTTATGAGGAGAAGATAAGTTTTTAATGCACAGTCTGGCAAGTGAACGGTCTCTCTGAGATCTTATGAGAGTTTATGAATGTTGCTGACAGGTTGCTGTAAGACCTAGTTTATACTTGATTTCTTAAGGAATTCCTAATGAAGACACGGTGTACCAGACACACAAAACCCACTTGTGCAGTCTGCCAAGGTGAAGAGTGTCTCTGCAAACCATTCGTTCCAGAGTATTTATTTTCTGTGCGAGGTATTAGAAAAGAGAGCAGGTTTCAATATTGAAGATCACAAGAAATGTAGTACCACAGATAACCCAGAGACCACAATAACCCATTAAATTATTTGAGTGTGTTTAGTTAAAAGTTCCTTTTATTTGTTGCACTGATAACGTTTCACTGACAGCAAATACCAGAATGTGCTGCTCTGCTGTATTAGATAGATTTGTCCAAAAATATCACTTAGACACTTGAAATGTAAACCAAAGGGAAATGTAACATTCAAGCAAACATGTCTTTTTCTAATTCTAGATAAAAAAATAATAATATAATTATCTGGATTTTTTTTTTTTTATAAAAATAAGTAAAATGCTTTTTCTTTGTACCTTTTTAATAAACTGATATATTATTACATACTTATTGTAGTGGTTTGGGAATTTTAGGATTTGTGAAATCTTCCAATAAAATCTGGTTTAAGAGTGTCACACTGAGACAGCATATAATGGGAAGTTAAAGAAGTAACCCACAAGAATTCAACCAAAAAAAAGGAAATCTCTCTGCTCTCTTCTGTTCTGCTACTCAATCCCAAAACATGCAGCCTCACTCGCAGTGGTCCACTTGCACAGCTAAAGAAAGGTGCTCTATAGCCAAAATACACAAATAACCAAAGGTGGTACAGTGGTTAACACAGTAGGAAGGTGCTAGGCTTGAACCAAGCCAATGGATGGGGCCTATTAAATGTTCTCCCCATGCCTGCATGGTCACTCCACAGCCCACAGTGGTTCTAAATTGCCTGTAGCTGTGAACATAAACCATAATGTCTCGCTGGGTAACCCTCTGATAGACTTGTGATTTCACCAGGGTATACTTCGCCTTTTTCCCTATGACAGTTGTGATAGGCTCCAGCTCTTATCCACCCTGTATTTTGTGAAATTTGAGTTCAAATTCTGCATTTTGATCTTTAACCTTTAATAGAGCGTTCACCTGTGCTTTTGCATTAGATAACAAGTTGTAAGTGGAGAAGACAGGTTACGTCTTTAATCTGCGTAAAGTCATGGAGGTTAGGCGACAACTGCACTTTATCTCGCTTTATGCTCTAATCTCCTAAACTTAGAGCTCATATGAACATCCTCATTAGGGACAAAGTCCACTGACAACACATCACATGCCGACACAGAAGGATGTTTATTACTTTACACTCCATATGTATGCATGTAAGCATGCAGACTGTCTCAGACACGGTGACGTACATGATTGCAGCAGCTGAGGTTGTACGCTGACACTTTAAGAACACACTTTAAAAGCAAATTAGAGAACTGCTGACACACACACACACACACACACACACACACACACACACACACACACACACACACACACACACACAAAGCTCATCCCCCTGATGTCAGCTTTCCAAACTGGTATCCATAATTTTGAATCCTGACTGAATGTTTTCAGCGATTTTATGAGCCCACAGAGTCCTCTAACCTGACGTGCCAATAAAACACTCAAATTTAATTATCTCTCAGATTGGACCTTTGAGCATCTCATATATTACACTGCACAATACATCTTTTACAGTAGTGCTGGAAAACAGCAGACAGTTTTACAGGCAGAAAATAAAGACAGGGGATTATACGGTAACTGAAATAAAAGACTATGTGAAGGAGCTATAAAAACTGCATCAAATATAAAAGCAAATTTCCACTGTTATTGGAAAGCAATGGGACACTTATACGTGTTAACATAAAGGCAGTGGTGAACACGAAGAGCCTTTTTTGCAGTTATATTCACAAAGCAATCTACAGTTCAGGTACCATTTAAAGGTGAAATTACAGCCATACGTGTTTAACTGAATGACTGTTATCAAATGGAGATGATGAGTGGAAGAGCAGGACAGTCTGAGACCATTATTGCTACTGGCTGAATGGTCATATGACTAACATGCAAGGAGCTAAAGCATGTGAGTGCTGTCAGTGAGGGCATGTCTGCTATTTAAGCTTCAAACTTCCTCTACAAGGCTAGTAGCTCAACTGCAAACACGTTGCCTACTGTAGAAATAGAAACTGAATGATTGTGGTGTTAAATTATTAGGTTGGACTCCCTGTTGCCCTCCTCACTTTTGTCACACCTACCTTAACTCTTCATGGCTCAAATTCATCAAGATGCTGGAAACATTTCCCAGAGTTTTTGGTCGATATTGACGTGGTAGCATTAGCATGCATTCTCTTTATTGCACGAGGGTGTAACTGTCAGTATCCCTGCGTCTTCCACTGCCAACCATTTCATTTTGTACAATTCCCACCAGCTCTTTAAAGTCTGCTTTTTGCGCAATCTTTTCAGCGCCCTTAATCTTATCAGCAAACTGTGTTTATGTGCTAAAAGTAATAATTTCCTTGTAAGTAAACCCAATTGTAAAGTGTGATTTCCCTAACTTATTTACACAAGGCACTTTGTAGAGGGTACAGCAGCTGTGACCGTTTGTCTTGAGAACTGTTTGATCAAAGTTCTTCTGCAATCAAATCTCGTAAACTTGGCGGCCATTTTCAAATGCTGCCAGGTATTTATTTGGGCAGGTTTTTCAGAGGTCACACAAAAAATGTATAACTAGAATGAAATAGGATTTTTGACTTTTTTTCTTCTTTTTTTTTTAAAGGAGTTGCCCACAGATTTAAATTTAGGATCTATAAAGTAAAGTGTGTTATGTAAGTATAACGCCTCGCCTGCATCAGCTAGCTTGCAGGCTTTGCTCCATTTAGCAGGTTGGTTAGTTAATGGTAATAGCTTTGCTATCAGTTTGTTATAAGTAGTGCCAAACATTGTGATTCAAATGGCCATTTAATGGGAATAAAATGCTTTTATCAGCAGCCTGATGTCTTCATAATCTTCAACACACACTGAGAGATGATGGGCATTTACTCTGTAATGAGCACCGGCTAAACAGAAAATCTGTCATGCATTCTGTCTCACCTCATTTAACAAATGTATGCCTGGCGCTGTGGCATCTTTCAAACCTGAGATCCTGCAAGTCACAATTAAAGAATACAGTGTTTGTTTTCATCTTTTGAACCATTTTACTTCTCGTGACAGCTTTTCCATAGAGTGCAGCAGCATGTGGTTCGAGGTATGAAGCCTTTTGGCTAAAGGTAATCTATAAATAAAATACAACTGAGTGCTACAGCCTGGTCAGTATCACCAGAGAAACACATGATGATAATATCCTTATAGTGAACTGCTTTGGCAGATTTTTAATGCTCAGATAAGATGGTGCTGATGTTTATCCATTAACTGCAGTTGAAGTACTTGCTGTCCTGAATTTTAATGTGTTTATTCTGTATCAGCTCATTGGGTGGCTGCTGATTTACTAGTGAGAATAGAAAAAAGTCTGATTTATATTCAGTTATACTCTGCCAGACCTCTTATTACATTACCTTATCAGTCTATCGTGAAGCTGCCAAAGGCCGTGTTTGATAATGAACATTTTCTAGGTGTGACCGAGCATTGACACCGTGATTAGCCACTTTCCCAAAAAAGCCTGACTTAATGACATTGGTTTTTTGCGTTTTGCACACAGGAATTTATATCATCGCATGGAAGCAAAGTCTATTTAGCTTAATCTTCAAGTGCTGGGTGCTGTGCAAAACTCATACAGAAAAAAAAAATCACAAATATTTAAAATAAAAATACACTGGATACACTTTTAAATGCACAGAGGTTAAAGAACGGCTGTCTGAAATTACAGAAAGCTTCTGGGAAGACGTCAGAGTGAAACATAACAAGTCCCAAAGTTATTTCCACTTGGTTTGTAGAATACAGTCAGAAGAGGATTGAACAATAATTAACCAGGTTTCCAAATACCAAAAAGGTAACTGCACTGATGTGGGGGGGAAGAAAAACTCGTTGTAGAATAAATTTTCCACCCTGATGTCAAACCGTCTTGAACAACATTTATAAAAGACCTAAAAGAAACAATCTTAATAACTGATTTTAGTGTTGGATTTCTCATACCCTTTTGAAGTGTCAAAAATATTAGTAATAATATTAACTAAAAATTTTATAGAATAGAAGTTTGAATCTGTGATCTTTCAAAGCTTTTTGTTCTTCAGCTAGCCAGAGTCTCTCTTTTAAGAATGTTCCAGATTGTTGAATTGGCCACTCCAAAAGCCTCTGATATCAACCTGATAGGTTTATTTTGGTTTTTCAGCATAATGGTCCCCCCCTCTAAACTCTTTAAGTCACATATTTAAAGAGTGAGAAGCTGCAAAATATAATTTCAACACTTTTAATCAACTTCACGTATTACGTCTGCTTCATGTCAGGAAACAGTAAGAGAACATGTGTCACCTGGCCAGGAAATTGTGTATGAGCTCATTCTCAAATTACTTTTGACCTTCTGGAAAAAAAGAAAGCATGTGTGTAATTAGTAAACCTCACAAAGTAAAGCTGAATGCCTGCATGTCAATCACTTCTTGATTGTTTCGGTTAGTACAGAGGCAAAACTACGTACAAAAGCTGCATCTTTTTCGTGCAAGATATCGAGTTAAATCAGGTATGTGCACGGTGGAAGTACAATGAATAAAGAAACCCAAGCACTGCTGGCTCTGTTTCACTTACCTCACTCTAATAAGCCTGTTTGAGCTTTCAGCTTGCTTTTTCTTCTTCTTCTTTTTTTTAAATAAATATGATGTTCATCACACCAACACAGATTCACTTGCTCACCAAGTGGTTCAAGAGAAGGCCGGTACATCTCTGATGCCTATAGATTAAGCAGCAGGTAGGAAAAATTAAGCTACAAAAAGAGATTTAAATACTTTATCTTGTTGCTATTTACAGTGAAACAAAAAAATAAAATAAAAAAAAAATCCAAAACAATTCCACTAACCAGGTAATTTAAATGTTTACAGCTCAAAAGCTTTATGTGCATCTCCTGAAGTGGAGTAAAGTTTAAACAATGGCAATAAAAAAAACTGGGGGAAAAGGAACAAGTTCAGAAAGTGGCTCACCTTTTCACTAATCCCCCCAAATTTGGGTCATAATAAATTTCAGTCAAGTAAATAATTGTTATTCTTATCATGTTTAAATATTTTGTTCAGTAATATTCATGCACACAGAGCACAAAATCCCACACTTTAAGTTTTACTTCCTTATGTCAGTTTGTTTCTGGGTCATGGATTTTATTTTCCTCACCTGTGAGGTTTTATGTTTACTGACCACAGATTTGTTCTGTGGTTGTCCTATTTTTTAAATAAATGCATCTCAAAGACCAAGATACAAAAATATATTTTATTTAGTTTTTGTATACAAACAAATTATGAAACATATGTTTAAAAAAAAAAGATAATATTGGACCATCTGGTCGATCACTTGAAGCGAATGATCTCCTGAGTGGCCAGTCTGATGAGCTGGTTGAAGTCAAACTGGATGTACTTCCTCCAGTAACGTCTGTCTTTGCCGTAGGTTTGAGCCGGATAACACGGACTGCCTGAAACACAGGTTGGATTTATTTAGCTTTAGTTTATAGAAGCTTTTACTTCAACATCCACAGCTGATGGATCAAAGGCCAAACAGTGAAATTCATACATGAAAAATAAAGCACACTGTCAACTTCTCCTTAGTTAAATATCAATGCACAATTACTATTATTAGCTGTGTTTAACTGTGGCTAATAACAAAAGGAAGGCTAAAGATCAAGGTCTATAATTCTGGGAGGTGCTGGATAAAATTTATTTTAATAGAAATGTGCCACCTCAACCTTTTTTCAGGTTGACAGCCAAAGAATCCCAAAAGAGTAAAATAAAATTCAAATGTAGGAAAATGTGAGCGCGATTATCCCTGTATCTGCGGTTATTACACTCTTGCATAAATCCAGATTCAGGTTAGTCTCAGACTGTACAGCTGAAACCCTAATGGAGGTCTTCATAACTTTCTCGTCTACATCACTGCACTGGTGTCCTCTTTGGTATGTTCAGAAGTCAGCTGCCAGAGATCTTACCTGCACCAAGTCAGATCCTATATCTTCTTTAAAAATCCTTCTCCTCACTTATCAGAACTTCTCCTCCCCTACACCCCATCCCAGACTCCGAATTCTCCTGATAAAGTCGTGCTCTCGAGTCCCCACAGAAAGTCTGCAGTCCTTATGTGGGGACTGTTCCCCTCTGGGATTTGTAACGCCCCGGCTTTGGAAATTTCAACAAGTAGTTAAAATGTCACCTGTTCACGAGGTTTTTTTGTCTAAAGACACTTTGGGTTCTTAAAAAGATATGTTATAAACATCATGTTCTTTCTGAGAACTTATATAAATTTAAGATAAAAGATAAGTGTAAGGAGGGAGTTAGACTTTTGAAATAAAGAGCCCATTGGTCAGCTGAGAAGTGAACATGTGATTAGCTGAGCACAGTGAATCTCAAACTGTTTGGCACTTCCAACGCAAGTCATCTCCCGAGCCCCCAAACTTCTCAGCTCCTTATTTTCTTTGCTATTTATCCCAGTTTACAGTTGTAGTGAGGAGGGAGTCGATCCAGTACAACATGCAGCCTGAACACACTGACAGGTCAACACAAAGGCCTCCCAAAACCTTTTTTCTCTCTTTTTTTACATAACACATAAGTAATTTCGTTCCATGCCTTGACAGACAATCTATAGCAACAATTTTCTGACGCTATCTAGCTTATGTTTATACACTTTGAACTATTAAAATCTCAGCAAAACTGAAAAGTCCTAAATTAGCTCTCTAACGACCTCTAGAGGTTTATAGGTTCGCTGCTTTGGAGTTGATGTTCTGACAAACAAAAAAATCTGTGACCAACTATTCACAGCAGACAGGCTTCAGCTTTTTTAAGTTGGATAATTTGGTGCCATTTAAAAGGATACATTCTGAATATGTGTAAAGGTGAATGTAAACATGCAAACACCTCCACATTTATTGTAAAGCATGAAGTACTTCAGTGAGAAGGGTTGGAAAGAAAAATGTTCTGGTCCAAAAAAAGAAAAAGAAAAAAAACTACCTGCGCTTATGCAGGTAAATGTGTGTGCGCATGTGCGTCCTCACCTATGCCATGGAAGATACGAGCGACAGCCCTTCCAGAAAACTTCTCGTCACTTCGGTTGGAGAGGAAACTTCTGATGTCGGCTCTGATTTGATCCTCCCAGTCCAACAGCTAAAACATACAGAGGTAAGCCGAATCGTTCACAGACTTCACGTTAACTACAACTCCTGAAAAGTTTTCTACATTATTTGTCTTTGTAAAACCTTATATTTGTCGAGCTCCTCGAGATCAAAAGGTTTGAGAGCGTGGTCCCCGTCCCGCCTCTTATCAAAGTACTCGGACAGAAGGCTTTTTAACTGCAAACTGCGGCTCTCATCCAGATCGTCTACACAGGACAGTACGCTGCAGAAGGCAACACTGAAGCACAGCGAACACAAAGTCAAACACCAAAGCAGACAGAGGGTAACTCCACACAAAAAGACAAACGGTCAAAGCTAGCCAATACTGGAAAACAGGCTAGATCTTATTTAAGAATGTGTTTGTTTTAATTAGTGGATAATCCATAAAATCAGCGGATAATTAAAAAAGCTTAGCGTACCTCTTGAAGGCCTTAAAACAGGCCGTCAGCTGGTACAGCTGTGTTCTCTCTTGGTCCTGCACTCGTTTATGGAGGAACTGACAGACTCTGTCCATCTCCTCATCGCTCAGGTCGCCATAGGAACGAAAGTAGAACGAAGGACTGGAGAATTCGACGAGGACGCCACTACGTCCCCCAGCTGAAACAAAAGCATTTTTGACTGATTATTTCTACTGCAGCCCAGCAGGAAAAGAAGGGAGACATCCAACAAGCATCTCACAGAACTAAATTTAGACTCAAGGTTAGACCCTAAAACCACAGAGGGTCGATCAGAGAGTGACACTGACGTTAGAAGGCAATAGGGCATCCCGTTTCTGCCTCTCATACTCTCAGTGATGTGAGACCCTTCTGAACCGAATTCAAGGCAGCTTAATACTTTTTAAGGTCTTCTATTACTAAATGTATGTTAAAGACATTTTCAGACTTTATAAGGGCTGAGATCCTCCCTGAAACATTTTCCATGGCGACTGCCTGGATTGTTATTGCTGTGAATGTGTGGATACTAAATCGATACTAAATGAAAACAAAGCAAACATGAACTCATGAACAAACCTCTATCGGTGCTCCACTGCAGCTGCCTGAGTCCTCTCTTCACGAGAGGGAGCTGCCATCCCATAGTGTCCGCGACCTCGACAACATCAAACTCAAGCTGGTCGCACTGCTCCACCCGCTCGCCCGCCATCCGCCGCCTGGCCAACACCACAGCGATCGGAGGACAACTGCAGAGAAGAGACAAGTTTAAGACGTCTTAACAGTAACATTGCAATCACAGACGCACACGTTCATGTGCCCGGCCAATGTTGTCATACATTTTAGTGATTTTCTGGAGCTGCCTCGGCCCATCGTAGCAGCTGACTTTACACACAGACAGAGTGGGGTGGAGCAGCTCCACGAAGCGCTGTGGGTGCAGCTCCAGATAGCAGAGCAGCGTTTCCACACCTGGAAAAACATAACAAATGTTACAATTTCAAAAACACTGGGAGTAGTTGTTGTTTGCTGGATTTTAGAGTGTTTCTTGGGAAATTTAGGATGAATTTGTGTGATCTACACGATTTGTTTTGTTCTGTTAAACCAGATAAGAATAAATACGAGTGATTTTATTAGATGGTTTTCTTATTTAATGCAACGTTTGCTCCAGTTGTATCATTTTATTTGTTTTCTAAATTCATCTGTTTGAGCGTAATCTGGTCATCAAACTGTTTTGGCTTTAGCTTTTTGGCCTTTTGCTTTCAGCGGATTCAGCGCACGAGCCACTAAACAACCTGCGTGGATGAGATCAGGCTTAAATTCTGTCTTAACCTCAAGTCAGAAATAATTTTTAAAATGTTTAAAGATTTATGCTAATTTATGCTTTCCGTGTACAAATCAGCCTACACCTGTTCATTTTACTGTCTTATCAATCAATGTGATTTTTTAGTGTATGTATCCACTCACCTTCCTCCGTGATGTCCAGAGCCTCGATGGTCTCTTGGATGGGAATCGCTCGTTCGTGCGTGTGACAGACTCGCTCCCTGGGCCAATCACAGCGCTCCTCTTCTTGGTCCCTCTCCCGGTTATCTCTCTGGTCTTCTGTCTGTTTTTTCATCTCATCCTCATTTCGTCCCTCTCTTTTATCGTTGTCTTCTCGGATGGCTAGCCCAGCAGAACTGAGATCTGATTCCTTGCAGTAAAAAAAGTCATATTACCAAAAAAAATTATGTACTAAAAAAGTAATTATGAAATTAGCATTTAATTATTTTTTTGTTTAAATTTCTCTATTGTGTGAAGCGATCAGAGACCAGTTCCCACTTTACTTACAGGTGCAGCAGCAGGTTGTGATTCATCTTTGTCTGACATGTCTTGCTGAGCAGAAGAATTCATGCTGCTCTCCTGATCGCACACATCCATCACCTCCAACAGCTCAGAGTCTTCAACATCCTAAACAAACACACAGACACACAGTCCTTTACTTCATAGAAAGTTTGAGTTCTACAGACAAAGACATTTCTTCAGGCTAAAACACACTCACAGACAGACGAAGGAGGAGTTACCTTGAAGAGTTCCTGCTGTTTCTGGTGTATCTGTTTACATTTGCAAGCTGGGAAAACTTTCTGCACCAGTCTTTTCACCGTATAGTAGTCCACTGTGTCTGCGTAGATATGGCGACGGAGCTCATGGAGGTCTCCACCCTACAATCACACACAGAATGACATGATATTATTCGTATATGCAATATACACTCACTGGTCACTTTATTAGGTTCACCTGTACAGCTCCTTGTCAGTCCAAATATCTCATCATCAGACAATCACACTCAACACGACAGCAACTCTATGCATTTTTCACATGCACACGTTCGGTTGGAACCTGCTGAAGTTCAAACAGAGCACCAGAATGGAGAAGAAAGATGATTGTTGGTGGTGTAACAGTGTGATATTTTCATGGCACATTTTGGACCTCTTATTACCCACTGAGAATCACTTAAACAGTCTACATGTGTATTGTTGCTGTCCATGTCCATCCCTTTATGACCGGGAGCATCTCAACTCTTCTCTCTTACTTACACAAACATTTTATTACAAACTGATTGTGAATATGACAGAAGGTTCATGATTCCACTTTCTCTCTGGTTTATTTGGGGTCATTTTATCTACACCGACACAGAACCCCCTCAAAGATCATTATTTATAAAGTATTTAAAACGGGATTTGTTTGAAATTGCCAGCTGACATTGAGGAAGTTCATTTCTTAAGCACAGTCGACCATCACAACAAATGTGTACAAAGACCTATTTTTTCCAAGAACTGCAATCCCACCGCATCAGTGCTGCTTTCTGTAACTACATCATTGACGTCAGTAATATCACAATTTTAAGACTCGCCTCCGGGTCCAGGAAAAGGTGACAGTGAGCCGGCTCTCCATCTCTTCCTGCCCTCCCAATTTCCTGAACGTAACTCTCAAAGCTCTGTCAACAAGAAAAACAGGATAAGATGCCCCAAAACAGACTAAAAGAGAAAGTTAAAAAATATTTAATGTATTTTCAAGTCCAGTATGAGGAGACATGAGTCAGGATAGATCCGAGCACTGCCCACCTTAGGCATGTTGTAATGGATGATACCACGAACGTCAGATTTATCCAGGCCCATGCCAAACGCCACTGTGGCCACCACGATCCTGAGCTCTCCGCACATGAAGTTGTTCTGCACGCGTCGCCGCTCTGACCCCGACAGGCCGGCATGGTACGATTCAGCCTGCCATTTCAGTGGTTTACGAATCTTCTTCCGAGCTAAATACATAAAGGACAAAACCACAAAGTCATGGAGACTGAAGGAAATAGACTTCACCTGTAATTAATGTTATCTTAAGTTATGTACCACAGATTTCCATAACACAGCATAGGCTCCACATACATATTTCACTTGTTCCCCCGCCATATCAACTCTCTCCTTACTAGTTTTTAATTAATCACATTTTTAAAAAACACTTACCCAGTTCTTTCTTTCTCTGCCCTACAGGGTTGTTTTCAGACCGACTGCTGCTGCTGCTCTTCTTGTTTTCCTTTAACAGCACCCCTTGAAGGCAGGTTCGGAGAAGTGCCGCCACACGCACCGTCTCCTCTCTTCTGGTGCAGTAGACGATGATCGAGTCAAGACAACCAAACCGATCACCTTTCAACAAGGAGACTAAAGCCTAAGACGACAATTGCACACATTGCAAACTCATTTTAGTAAGAGAAGGACTCTTGGATCTAGAACTACTAAAAATCCACAAATAAATGTCAGTCAGGACACAAAAACACTCATTTGACCTGATCCTTTTCTCTATCCGTGGACACAGAAAGATTCAGGTTTGGAGGCACAGCTGCAGATCTGACAGCAATGCCGGCTTGATCACTGATTTCCAGATGTTTAGCAATGTCCAGAGCAGTGGACAGAGTGGCTGTAGCTGTGAGTCCTAGCAAGCATCGTACTCCCAGACGCTCTCGTAACACCTACAAACAAGCACTGTATTAAAGACTTAAAGAGATAATCAAAAGTGATACCACTGTTCTAAAGAAGCCATTTTACATAAATTTGACAGAACTTTTTACTTGTTTCAAACTGGAAAGTTCAACACAGTGAGTTGTTTGAACAAGTAGCAGAATTAACATCACTTGTGTTAGAGTACGATGATCTCCAGGAATCATCAACCCACCTTGCAGAGTCTTAGATAGCAGGGTCTGAAGTTGTGGGACCACTCTGAGACACAATGAGCTTCATCTATACAGGCGAAGGCCACAGGAGGGAGCTCCTGAGCAGAAGGAAGACACCCTGAACCTGAACCTCCTCCCCCAACAAGGGCTTCTGGAGAGAGCAGCAGCAGACATACCTGGCCTGACTTCACCTGGAAAAATAGCAGGAGGTGAATACAAGGTATGAACGGAAAATAATCAATGATATAGTAAAGTTTCAAATAAGCATAGAAGTCAATTAATTCACGCCTGAAATTAGAAGATAAGGTGCTGTAGAAGTCGGCAAATCGCAAGCAGAAAGATGAGGAGGGACAAACTACACATTTTGACTTTTTGTGGAGAAAACAGCTGTTACTTCTGTGCAGAGGTGTGCGAGCATATGGAGCTGGGACCACATCTGCACACACCTTGATCTGACTGATTTGAAATTCCAACTCTATCTGATTTAAGACCATATGTGGATATTTGTATTCACACTGGCATAAAAAAGGGCATCTGAGTGTCGCAGAATATTTAAAAATAAAATAAATAAATATGTTTGTATGACTAACTATCTTAAACCATTTATTTGCATCCCAGCCAAAGAACTGGGACTGCAGGAGAAGAAAGACTTGCATCTAGTGTGACTGGATTCATGGATCCAATAAGAGGCTGTTCATTTTTCAATGACATTAACAAAGAAGCTGTAATCAACGTGGCTCAGTCTCACTCATATCTGATTCTTGATGCACTTCCTTTTACCTTTTCTATCGCTGCTTCTCGCTGTTTCATTGTCATATTAGAGTGGATACAGGCCGCCTTCAGCTTGGCTGGCAGGCCAGACAGCTGCACAGAAACACAAAAAGATATTCAGCAAATACATTCTCAACTCTATCATTAGTTTAGAGAAATTAGATTTGCTCTGTGCCTACAGCCATCAGGTGTACAAGTGTTTACCTGGTCGTCCATTAGAGAGACGAGAGGCGATATGACCAGAGTGATGCATTTGGATCTCTGAGCATAGAGGTAAGCTGGGAGCTGGTAGCACAACGATTTGCCCATCCCTGTTGATAACACTACGAGGGTAGACAGACCTAAAGGTGGAAACACACAAACATGTACAGAGAGATTGTAAATTAGCAAATGAGTGTGTGCAGGTGAGCTTATGAGTGTGCACACTACATACCCGACAGGATCCTCATGATGGCTTCCTCCTGTCCTGGTCGAAATGACTGATAGCCGAGATCTCTTAGAGCCGAATAAACATCTTCAGGTGTTTCTTAATATAAAGAGAAAAATCAGTTCTTAGGCCAGTGTACTGTATGTCTATTTTGCAGAATTCATGAGATCAGTGTGCAGTCCTTACGCTGGACTTTTCCATCCTCTGTGAGCTCATAAAGCGGCTCCATGGGTGGAGGAGGAGGAGGTCGTTCATAATCGGGGCGAATCACATTCAGCAGCACTTCATCTTTACGCTTACTGTCCACTTCCTTTTCCTGATCATTCTGCTCCTCTTTAAAAGTGGACGCTGCCACTGGAACACACAAACGCATCAGGGTCTAAACACGCACGACTTAGGAACACAAAACATCTGTATTTGACAGCTTCGTTACTTAAAACAGCTCAAATTTAAGCTCTAAAAATAAATGTGCACAAATTTACATGAACAAAGTGTTAAAAACTTTTTTCCATTAATGAGCAGATGTAAACATACACCTCCAGTCTATGTGTTAGCTGTAGAAAACATAAGGTTAATAACTGCTCTTATTGTAAAGTAAGAACAGTTATTAACCAGATAAAAGATAAAACTAAGTTTCACATAATGTCATTAATATGATGCACAAAGTAAAACTTAAACAGTGCATTTATGACACTGGAACTATGCAGTCATGCATAAGCCGACTAGTTCTGTCAGAGAGCGACATGCAATCAGGTCAACAGATGTACCCTGTGGCTGAGGTTGTAGTGTCCCAGTTGCCCTGGCAACTTCCTCCAGGGTGGGTAATTCAAATGGCTCCTCCTCAACCGCCTTCTCGTCAGCAACAGGAGGTGGAGGGGCTGCAAAACATATCAAAACTTTTAACAGACCTGTGATGCTGATTTCCAGCTCTGAAACTTTATTTTTGGACTCTAGCAGAGCAACTCCGTCATCCTTCAGATAAAAGACGAACTGAAGGGCGTCGCTGGAGCTTTGACGAGAGCTCTTCTCTCTTTACAGCCACCCTCCCTACAAGTAATCTTTTTGCTAACTGACTTCCTCTTACTGTGGGTGTGACTGCCATGTTGACGGCACTAAAGACTGTCTAGAGCATTCTGAAGGGATCACAACAAGGTGAGATATGCATTTAATAATAGTTATTGTTGTTCCTGCATCACCTCGCCCTTTGCAGTCAATAGCCCAGTGTCCGGTCCCTCCACATTTGTAGCAGGTGTCACCCTGTCGACTGAGGCCCCCTCTGAAACCCCCTCTGAAGCCCCTCCATCTTCCTCTGCCAAAATATCCACCACCTCCACCGAAACGCTCTCCCTTCAGCTGGAACTTCTGCATGTACAACTACAACACCAAGAAGACATTTATGACACCAAGAAGATATAAAAAATGCATTTTAATTACTCAGTTTGTATTATAACAAGGACGTGTTATACATGATATAAGCATAAACTCTTTGAGAAAGTCTGCACTTCTTCCCACTTCTTTTTGATATGTAAACCTAAAAAAATAGGCCTTAAACTTTCATGCACAATGATAACCACACACACACACACACACACACACACAAACAAATAAATGTAATATACCTGTCTGCGCAGAGCAATCCCTCTCAGGGCATAGCCTTTGACATGAGATTTCTTCTTCAGGTTTATTTTCACAAAGTTACCCTCGGCTCCTTTTGCGACTCTGTTAAAACAGGAAAACAAACACATGTAGAAACCTTTCAAAGACATTCTGCTTTCCTCACATGCACTTTGTCCTACCTGGCTCTAGCAGACTGTGCCCGATAGATTTTGTTAACTCCAAATTCTTCTTCTATGTCTCCAAACAAGTTCTCTTGGGGCATCTAGACAGAAGCAAAGCTACATCAGATAATCTTATATAAGCTTAAAATAAGACATACAATGCACCCTCCAAATCCCCCCTTGCCTTTTTTGGTCCCTTGGTTTCTTCCTCTCCTTCACCCTCTCCATCACCTTCTTTTCTCTTGCTTCTCTTTTTCTTTCCTGCTCCTCCGTGAGCTGAGCTGGGGCTAACGTCAGAGCTCTCCTCTTTCTTTCTACCACCTCTCCGTCTCTTTTTTACTCCTCCTTCTTCTGTAGTGTTTCCCTGCGTGTCACCCACTTCTCGCTGCCTCTTCTTCCTCCTATTTTTTGAAGCTTTAGTTTTTGGACTGCTTTCATTGTCATCATCAGCTGTTATATGTGATGTCTGCCCTCTTTCCATCTCCTCCTGTCCCTTCCTTTTCTCTTTGCCACCCCCTTCTTTTCTGCTTTTTTCAGAGTTTGCAGCACTAGTAGTGACTATTTTATCCCCTGTTACACTCTCAAACTTTTTACCTCTTCCCATTTCTAATGACTCCTGTCTTTCTCTCTCTATATCCATCTCTTCCTTTGCTTCTCTTTCGACTCCTTGCATTTCCCCTTTTAATTTTTCTCCCTTTTCTGCCATCCCTCGTTGCTCCACATTCATCTCCTGGTTGCCTGCTCCAGGCTTCTCCTCTGCTCCCATCTCTCCAAACACCTGACACCTCTCTAGCCACTTCCTGTACACAAGGCTCAGCCTGCTGGCAGGAGAAGGCCTTGCACCAAGGCCTCTGCCTCCTCTGAAACCTCCACAAATCTGTGGACTTCCGTTAAAGCCAATTACACTTTCACCACCTGCAGAATCGGTACCTCTATTCTGAGTATTTGATGTTTCAGCATTTTCTTTTACATCTCCTAAAATGCCTTTAGTTTCACTTCCCATAGTTCTGGCTCCTACTTTTGAAGCCCCTAAATTTCGCTCAGGGGATAAGGATGACAACAGGGTGGAGGATCTGATGGGAGAAGGACTTAAAGCAGAGGTAGTGAATTGTGAACTAGTGTCTTTGCCAATGCTACAGCTACCAGCAGCACCTGCAGCTTCATCATTGTCCTGTCTGAACATTTCAAATGGTTGAAACGGCTCTTCAAGCTCTGCTGGTTGGAGCGTCTTTGAAGCCAGAGATCCCAGGCAAGGATTCATTCTGTAAGCAAAGACGTGATAACAAGGAGGGTTCGCATAAATCATCACAAAGTCACATTATTCAAGCTTTTTAAAGTGGCACAAGCAAAACAACTACTTAGTAACCATCTTGCTTGAACACTCAAAAGTAAAAGACGATATTGGATTCTCCAATATCCAAACTGCTTTATTTTGCAATTCATTCATCCTAATAGTAGTGTTAAAAATAAAAGCAATCAAATTTTTATAATAAAAATGAGAGAAATAGTATCTCGGGTATAAATTAAAATTCATTCCTTTTCCTTATTTTCTGGGTATATATATACATATATACATATATACATATACATATATACATATATATATACATATACATATATATATACATATATATATACATATATATATACATATATATATACATATATACATACATATATACATATATATAGGAGGAGGAGGTCGTTCATAATCGGGGCGAATCACATTCAGCAGCACTTCATCTTTACGCTTACTGTCCACTTCCTTTTCCTGATCATTCTGCTCCTCTTTAAAAGTGGACGCTGCCACTGGAACACACAAACGCATCAGGGTCTAAACACGCACGACTTAGGAACACAAAACATCTGTATTTGACAGCTTCGTTACTTAAAACAGCTCAAATTTAAGCTCTAAAAATAAATGTGCACAAATTTACATGAACAAAGTGTTAAAAACTTTTTTCCATTAATGAGCAGATGTAAACATACACCTCCAGTCTATGTGTTAGCTGTAGAAAACATAAGGTTAATAACTGCTCTTATTGCAAAGTAAGAACAGTTATTAACCAGATAAAAGATAAAACTAAGTTTCACATAATGTCATTAATATGATGCACAAAGTAAAACTTAAACAGTGCATTTATGACACTGGAACTATGCAGTCATGCATAAGCCGACTAGTTCTGTCAGAGAGCGGCATGCAATCAGGTCAACAGATGTACCCTGTGGCTGAGGTTGTAGTGTCCCAGTTGCCCTGGCAACTTCCTCCAGGGTGGGTAATTCAAATGGCTCCTCCTCAACCGCCTTCTCGTCAGCAACAGGAGGTGGAGGGGCTGCAAAACATATCAAAACTTTTAACAGACCTGTGATGCTGATTTCCAGCTCTGAAACTTTATTTTTGGACTCTAGCAGAGCAACTCCGTCATCCTTCAGATAAAAGACGAACTGAAGGGCGTTGCTGGAGCTTTGACGAGAGCTCTTCTCTCTTTACAGCCACCCTCCCTACAAGTAATCTTTTTGCTAACTGACTTCCTCTTACTGTGGGTGTGACTGCCATGTTGACGGCACTAAAGACTGTCTAGAGCATTCTGAAGGGATCACAACAAGGTGAGATATGCATTTAATAATAGTTATTGTTGTTCCTGCATCACCTCGCCCTTTGCAGTCAATAGCCCAGTGTCCGGTCCCTCCACATTTGTAGCAGGTGTCACCCTGTCGACTGAGGCCCCCTCTGAAACCCCCTCTGAAGCCCCTCCATCTTCCTCTGCCAAAATATCCACCACCTCCACCGAAACGCTCTCCCTTCAGCTGGAACTTCTGCATGTACAACTACAACACCAAGAAGACATTTATGACACCAAGAAGATATAAAAAATGCATTTTAATTACTCAGTTTTTATTATAACAAGGACGTGTTATACATGATATAAGCATAAACTCTTTGAGAAAGTGTGCACTTCTTCCCACTTCTTTTTGATATGTAAAACCTAAAAAAATAGGCCTTAAACTTTAATGCACAATGATAACACACAACACACACACACACACACACAAACAAATAAATGTAATATACCTGTCTGCGCAGAGCAATCCCTCTCAGGGCATAGCCTTTGACATGAGATTTCTTCTTCAGGTTTATTTTCACAAAGTTACCCTCGGCTCCTTTTGCGACTCTGTTAAAACAGGAAAACAAACACATGTAGAAACCTTTCAAAGACATTCTGCTTTCCTCACATGCACTTTGTCCTACCTGGCTCTAGCAGACTGTGCCCGATAGAGTTTGTTAACTCCAAATTCTTCTTCTATGTCTCCAAACAAGTTCTCTTGGGGCATCTAGACAGAAGCAAAGCTACATCAGATAATCTTATATAAGCTTAAAATAAGACATACAATGCACCCTCCAAATCCCCCCTTGCCTTTTTTGGTCCCTTGGTTTCTTCCTCTCCTTCACCCTCTCCATCACCTTCTTTTTTCTTGCTTCTCTTTTTCTTTCCTGCTCCTCCGTGAGCTGAGCTGGGGCTAACGTCAGAGCTCTCCTCTTTCTTTCTACCACCTCTCCGTCTCTTTTTTACTCCTCCTTCTTCTGTAGTGTTTCCCTGCGTGTCACCCACTTCTCGCTGCCTCTTCTTCCTCCTATTTTTTGAAGCTTTAGTTTTTGGACTGCTTTCATTGTCATCATCAGCTGTCTGCCCTCTTTCCATCTCCTCCTGTCCCTTCCTTTTCTCTTGGCCACCCCCTTCTTTTCTGCTTTTTTCAGAGTTTGCAGCACTAGTAGTGACTATTTTATCCCCTGTTACACTCTCAAACTTTTTACCTCTTCCCATTTCTAATGACTCCTGTCTTTCTCTCTCTATATCCATCTCTTCCTTTGCTTCTCTTTCGACTCCTTGCATTTCCCCTTTTAATTTTTCTCCCTTTTCTGCCATCCCTCGTTGCTCCACATTCATCTCCTGGTTGCCTGCTCCAGGCTTCTCCTCTGCTCCCATCTCTCCAAACACCTGACACCTCTCTAGCCACTTCCTGTCCACAAGGCTCAGCCTGCTGGCAGGAGAAGGCCTTGCACCAAGGCCTCTGCCTCCTCTGAAACCTCCACAAATCTGTGGACTTCCGTTAAAGCCAATTACACTTTCACCACCTGCAGAATCGGTACCTCTATTCTGAGTATTTGATGTTTCAGCATTTTCTTTTACATCTCCTAAAATGCCTTTAGTTTCACTTCCCATAGTTCTGGCTCCTACTTTTGAAGCCCCTAAATTTCGCTCAGGGGATAAGGATGACAACAGGGTGGAGGATCTGATGGGAGAAGGACTTAAAGCAGGGGTAGTGAATTGTGAACTAGTGTCTTTGCCAATGCTACAGCTACCAGCAGCACCTGCAGCTTCATCATTGTCCTGTCTGAACATTTCAAATGGTTGAAACGGCTCTTCAGGCTCTGCTGGTTGGAGCGTCTTTGAAGCCAGAGATCCCAGGCAAGGATTCATTCTGTAAGCAAAGACGTGATAACAAGGAGGGTTCGCATAAATCATCACAAAGTCACATTATTCAAGCTTTTTAAAGTGGCACAAGCAAAACAACTACTTAGTAACCATCTTGCTTGAACACTCAAAAGTAAAAGACGATATTGGATTCTCCAATATCCAAACTACTTTATTTTGCAATTCATTCATCCTAATAGTAGTGTTAAAAATAAAAGCAATCAAATTTTTATAATAAAAATGAGAGAAATAGTATCTCGGGTATAAATTAAAATTCATTCCTTTTCCTTATTTTCTGGGTATGTATATATATATATATATATATATATATA